AAATTAGTCATTAGTCTAGAAAAGAAAACGAGCGAGATAAAATTTGTCTATTCTTCATTAAAGAGAAGAATTTGAACGTGAATTGTTGCTTCAAAAACTATAGACATATACACAACTAGTTTAATTCGATGGTAAAAATAAGGTATGAAAAAAATACCATGACCTGCATGTGCATATATTCGAATTGATCGGGAATAGATTTGATGGTCTTTAGAGTTTACCTGAGAATATAACTGCGATCATCAAAAGCAGCCCAAGAGAAACATTTGATTGCTTCGTCATTGGGGAGATCGACATTTTATGTATGTGTGTTGCAGTTTGGTAAAAGCCTTATACATTAATTTATAGATCAAACATGTAATCCCTCATAGCGTTTGTGAAGGAGAAGAAATCCCATATCAAGTATTATAACAGATACTATTATTTTCATGTAAAACAACAAAATTTAATATGATGACTTTCGTCAATAAACCGCACTATCATTTTGGCAATAATGAATATCGTCCAAAAAGCTCTTTGAAAATAGAGAGAAAGAGAATACGTCTTCAAATTTTTTTGTCGTAATGCGCAGTTCATAATCGATAGAAATCTTTCTATACTCGATCGCTCTTTTCTTTGAAAAGAAATACCTTGTTTTTATTTTCATTTTTCAAATTTGGATTATAAAAAATTATCTGAAATTTGAAGTAACAAGTAAATGAATTTTCAATGATAATTTGAGATAATTTTAGAAATGAGGTATAACGATTCTCCACTTTACCCAAATTATTTCGAACGACCTGTCAATTAATATGGAATGTTAGAGTAATTTAAAATAAAGTGCCATAACCGCGCAAATAACCCCGACGCATAAAATACTTATATAATGGTCACTGCTAAGAAGCTGAATTCCAATCCCAAAGGGGAAATTTAATCTGTTTACATTCTACATCATTTTAAAAGTTGTCTTAGAACCCATGTTGTCACGTATAAGTTGATGAAATAAGGCCCTTATAACATTTTATATATATATATATATATATATATAGTTCAAGCACTAAAAAAAACTCGGAATTTTTTTATTTTTGTTTTTGCTTTCATGAATACGCATGTGTGCACTCTATTGGGTGGTATTATTGGCGGGAGTAAATATTAGCCTGATGATAAGACCTTAATTAAGTTGATCTTTTAAATATCTTGAAATCGAATTTTACTTAGGGAAGTACTCTTTTAATTGTCACAAAATACAAGGGAAGTACTCTTTCCAAGAATGCAAAAGCTAAGATGTTAGAATTAATTTTCCCAAAATAAAAACACCATCCTAAAGACAAAAGACAGGTAAAAGAATGTAACTTGTATGATTTTATTTTTTTTAAAAAAAAAAATATACTCTCTCTGTTTCAAAATGATTGACAAATTCCGATTTTCATTTCTAATACAAATTATACTTAAACTTAAAATTCGAATAGAACAATAATTTTAGGACATACTCCCTCTGTCCCATAATTATTGTCCAGTTTGGGTTTTCATTTTTAGTTTAAATTGTACTAAAAATAAAATCTCAAATTGGATAATAATTTTGGGAGAGGGGGAGTAGAAAATATGTAAACTCGCGATATGGATGTCTTATGGATGTGTTCCGTCACTTGTTTAATGCAGTGACATCTCAACGCGTACATATAACGTTTATAGTAAGGACATTGAAATTAATCAACTCTTTCCACTCTAAACATTTATGCATTATTATGCACTAAGATTTTCATCAATGAATATTCCCACACGAAACAAAGAGCAAACAGTAAAGAAAGAAGTTATTTCTCCCCCATGAATGCTAATGCCAGTCTAGGGACTACCTTCTTAAAAGAATAGTAACAAAGTTAACGTAGTGTTACTGTGTTAGTAACTATTGAAATCTAAAATTGTGGTTGGTTGAATTCGGTATGACGCCGTTTAAGTAATTTTGATTTATTCTAAATTTAAAGTGATATATTTTTTAATTGAAAATAAAATTTTAAAAATGTATTTTCATATTTATTATCTTTTTTTATTTATTATAAATATTTTTAAAGTTATATTTTCAGTCGAAATAACATTCTAAATAAAACTTAAAACAAATTAAAATGCCTTAGATAAGGGTCGGAGGGAGTATGATGTGTTCTACTGGCTTAATATTATTTGTAAGGGAGGAAAACTAGAAAAATTAAATAAAGAACACATATGATTTTCGTCCGCAATAGCAAAATGTTTTTACTACACTCTTGTCAATATATTTTCGCACGTACTTAACTTTAATTAGGAAAAAACAATTAAACGATATGTGCTTGTGAGAGAGAAATTATTAAGAAAAAATAAGTGTAGTTAATTATAAGTCAACAAGATTTAAATTTAAATGGTACTAATAGAATATTTTTTTACTTTTACCATGTATTCCCAAAAAAACGGGAGCGCTATTGCCATATTTGAAATCTACTTCTTGTGAAAACCAAAGAGAGAAAAAGAAAAACACTACTTATACAATACAAATTTCATAATTTTATTTATCGCATCCCAAAAAATATCCGTTCCTTCTTAAAAAGTATCTTCCAGATACTTAATTTTGTTTAATCTTATTAGGAATTTAAAAATTATTTTCACATTTCACTTTGGCTCTTCTACTTATTTTATTGCATAAAAATAACACATTTGTGTGTGCATATAAATCTACATGTGCATGCTACTGTCTAAAAATTATACATCTTAAATCTAATAAAAATAAAGTTCATTTTTTATTTAAAAAAAAAAGTCATTGAAGTTTTAAATATTTCGCCATTGCACGGGTGCAACATTAGTATGATTCTATAATACTTTAAAACGTAAAAATACATATTGCAATTGGGTAGAAGAGGTCTATGTTCGTTCATCACTCAACCCTACAACCACAAATGGGTCGACTTTGTTCAGACACACACTCCGCTATGGAATTTTTTCCACAAGATTTAATGCAGATTTGCTTGCATTCCTCTGTAATGTGTCCATTTTTGCAGGATATGCTTTTAAACAGTATCGGGCATTCCTCGGCATTGACTTCACATTGGAAAATTACCAAACCTAACTCAATCAAGAAAGAACACAATTGTTATTAAAGTTAAAAAGTTACTAATTTAATTTGCTTAAAATTTCAGATTTTTTATTTTGAGAATTCTTTTTGGGCATTTAATCAAAATCATGATATGTTTTACAAGTGTTGCTAACCATATCGAAAGACTGTTGATTAAACCAATAAATTATGCCTAATTACAACAACTATAAATGATGTTTTATTCTCAAAAAGTGAAGGATTGAAAGATTCGATTTATGATTTGTGGCGTAAAATCTATCTCAAAATATAAAATACATACTAATCATAAAAACTCGAACGTAACAATTTAAATAAGGTTTCTTTTTTTGCTTATGATGTACCGGAAAGAAGTAGAAGCACAAGTAATGAGGCCAGAGAGACACCGGAAGACTTTGCCATTGTTTGGATTCAAAAATATCAAGAAATGTAGGCAGAAAGAGAGAAAGAAAAAGTGTGACAAGAGAGAAGAAGAAGAACACTATTGTTTGGTGTTCTGTTGTATAAAAAAAGAACTCATTTTATAGTCACATTATAGTCACGCCATATTTGTTTATATAATGGGAAGTACGTTATCATGAATTAATATCCGGATTTCATTCCATTTTGGTTAAAGAAATGAAAACAAATTTGAATTTCACTTTACCATAAATTGATCACTGGATTTCATTCAATTTCGAATAAAAGAAATGAATATAACTGTTTTTGTTTCTTTTGAAAGGATGAATATAACTATTAATTTCACTCCATTCTGAATTAATCGTTAGATTTTATTACATTCCGAGTAAAAGAAATTATTATAACTTTATAATTTTATTTAAGTTAATTCCAAAATTAAATGTGTACACTTGTTATGTTCTTGTATATGTTCTCGTCGCAAGATTTTAAGCACATATACGAGATAAATATCAACTTTTATTAATTAGGCGCGTGTTTTCCTTCTTCAATGCTAAGATGTTAGAATTAATTCCCTCCAACACCCCCCAAAAAAAATACCACTCGAAAGACAAAACACGGGTAAAAAAAGATTCGGCTTCAATTAATTTCAACACCTTGTAACTTGTATATTTAAAAAAATTATACTTTTTTTGTTTCAAAATAATTGACCAATTCTGATTTTTATTTCTAATACAAATTGTACTAAAACTGAAAATTCGAATAATACCATTATTTTAGGATACAAAAAATATGTAAACTCGTCACTTATAATTTCGTGACATTTCAACGCGTATATAATAATATATATAACGTTTATACTAACGACATTTAAACTAATCAACTCTTTCCCCTAATTCTTTCCACTCTAAACATTTATGCATTATGAAATTATTATGCACTAAGATTTTCATCCATGAATATTCCCACACGACAAAAAGAGCAAAGAGTAAACAGAAAGAAGTTATTTCTCCACCACGAATGCAAAGCCCGTGACAACCAAATTCCGCCACACACGAAATTCCAAACAACGAGTTCACGGACCAACCAAATCCCAAAAAAAAAAGAAGAAGAAGAAGAAAAGAAAAGGAAAAAAAAACAAAAAAACCTTTTATCACTGTGATCATGCATTGATTCAGTATATCGGTTACCTCACACAATTTATTCACAGTGATACACTTTCCGCCTTATTTTAATAGTCGGTTTTGTTTGAACTAAAATAATACAACACACTAGACTTATTAAGGGTGTGTTTGTTTCGTTTTTTTAGTGTGTGTTTTTAGGTATTTTTTGTATTGAAAATGTAAAAAAATGTATTGAAAATGTAAAAAGATATACTGAGATAAGACAGTTATTAATATTTTAATTTAAAAAAACCATCAAGAAAATGAAACAAACAAAGTTTCACCTATAAATACGAGGCACCCCATGCACATTTTACATCACACAATTACAATTCATTTGGTTACTCCATTTCAATTAGGTTTTCATGATGATAATGTCACGTGAAGTTATTGTAGCATTTCTTTTGCTTGTTTCAGTTATGACTACTACTAATAAAGTAGTGAAGCTAGCAAATGGTCAGACGATTTGCAATATGTCCGGGCAAGAGCTGATGTCATGCCGACCGGCGGTGACGCCACCGAATCCTTCAAACCCTTCATCTGTTTGCTGCACTGCACTTAAACACGCTGACATGAGTTGCCTTTGTTCCTTTAAGAACTCCACTTTCTTGCCTACTATCGGAATCGATTGGAATCTTGCCGTCCAGCTGCCGGAAAAGTGTAAACTTCCCCGTCCGGCCAATTGCTAGACTACTGGACTATCATTCGTGTGACAACATTTTGAAGTTCAAAATCCTTCTTATTAATTATGTCCACGAACATGTGTGCAAGCTTCTTCTTTTTCGTATGTTTAATGTTGTTGTTATATGTTGATTATGTTGTGTTTTGTAAGCTGAATTATGTACCCTTTTAACCATTTTCTCTTGTGTCATGGTTATAAAACTACTCTTGTGCTTATAGGGATTATGTTTCTGAATAATTTGTTTACAATTTTAGATTTTCAGTTACGTAATCATATCACAAAAATAAAAATAAAAATAAAATTGGCTTGTTCATCACATGATAACCGTAACAAAACCAACTGTAAAATTTGGTCCTAATCTGATAGTAATAAAATTCTTAACATATAGCACGGGATAGAAGATTTATGAACATTGGAAACAAAATTAAGCAGTTGTCACTTGTTATTGTTAAACAAAGGGAAATTAATAGCTACAGCAATTCGGTAAAGACTCTCAGGCTCTCAGCTCTAGAATGGGAGAGTGGTGGAAAAGCTACAAGAGAAAACGTTAGGATATACTACGAAACGTTAGGATATTCGGTAATTGATTTATGTCTCAACTACTTGAAAATTACTGCCTTCACTTTTTTGAACTGTCACGTTAGGATATACTACGAAACAATTGAGAAAACGTTAATGATTAACTGAAAATTAATTCATGTATGTAGTGTCTATATTGCTCTTAGTTAATGTATTAAAATTATACAAAAGATTAAAAAAAAAACAAAAAACAAATAGGTTTCGGTACTATTGATTATTAAGTGGAAAGAAATAAGGGTGAAATTGGAAAACAAAATATAATTAATATCACTTTGGAAATGATGTTCAACAAAACTTTTGCAATCACCCTAATGTGAGATTTTTTTTTTTTTTTAAAAAAGTGAATGTATATACATTGAGACACATCAACTATAGAAATTCTATTTAAATCGTTTAAATATTGTTATCAAAGCTCATGCAAATCGATCTTTAGAAAATTGTGAAGCTAATGTTATTGTTACACATTCAAAGCCTAAATGTCTAATGTAATGGATGTTCTGATTATATTTAGGAATAAAAATTTCTTTTAATATTTGGAAAATCGCCAGGAAGAATTGAACAGGAGGAATAAGGTGCAATTGATGAGTTCAATTTTTACATTTGATAAACCATATGAATGTGCTCATTATGGATAAACCTATATATATATATATATATATTTTTATCCACAAATCATTATATGTAACAAATTAAACAAATTTTAATTACTATTGGAAAGAAATAAATTTGATAATCACGAAAGATCTAACTATCCTAGTAAATAAATGTGTTTCTTTTGAGAAAACAAGGGAAAAAAATAATAGAAATTTCGTGAATGTTTGCTTTGTGCTACAAGGTCATCTATATCATGCATTTATACTAACCGTAATAGTTTCTTTTGTTTAATTAAAAGTTTCTGATATATTCATACACAATTTTTTAGAAGAAATTAATTTTTATCACTATGGAAAAAAAAACAATAAAATACAACACTGTATTTGCATGTGAAAATGTTTGTGAAATAGATTTATTTTGTCTTAATAAAATAAGAAGTGTGCAATTGATTTACAGTATTTTTCTTTTGAAGTCTCAACCACAAATTTATTCTCTTTATCACGCCGCCTCAGTTCACTTTCCCTCCGCTTTTGTTTTCTTTGAAAAGGTCCATAGTACCCGCCAAAAACTTTCGTTACATCAATATTCATTCCATCTTTTGATTTTATAACAATTTTTTTCTTGAATTTTTCTTCCGTTGGAATCTTTTGAAATCTTGTTGCCATTGAGTACTTTAACCTCTCGGGAAAAAAAAAAAAAAAAAGCCAGAGGAAGAGCTGAGAAATCCAGGCTCCCGAAGTCATTCATCGCCGCCTTAACCAAATTGAACGGTAAAGCTTTTTCCTTTGTTAATTATTTCTTTGATTTTCTTTGCGGACCCTTTTGATAACGACTTTTATATAGTTATTTTGTGGGAATCGTTATGTCCGGGATGTGTTTGTAAGAATTCCTGAGCGAACGGGTTCAGTCGTTGGACTAAGATAATCGTAAAGAAAGTAGTTTTACAAGTGTCAGGTTGGGTGTGAAAGAAAAGTCTTGGCTGCAGCTTCTGCTGGTGCCAAGGACAAAATGCAGTCGAACCCATTTAGATGCTACTGTACGAGTTTTAGGATGAAACGAATGAGAAAAATAAGTGGCAGGGTTTGTGTTTGCAATCGAGAGATTGATTCTGGAATTCAGGGAAGTGATTTAAGATTGAGTACGTTCTGGAAGGAAGACCTAGTTCGGGAGTTCTTCCGTCAGTAAAGAAATTTTCGTTCTTTCACGATTAGATTGTTTTAGGAATTGGAAACTCGAGTTATAGGCATTTTGTGGAGTTCTTTAGTGAGAGAAGCAATGTAGATTGTGCTAGTTTTGAGTTTGAACGGCTATTTACATGCTATAATGCTCTTCATAAACAGAGGAACGATATTTGAAAGTCAGTACTTTCTATTTTGTCACCAATTTTATTCATCTCATGAAACTCAACTTTAATAAAACTGCCTCGTGATTGTTCCACTAGGTTACGTAGCTAGCTTTGAAATTTGTACCTTTGGTGTTTGGAGGCATTGGAGGAACTGTGCCCTGGGTCTATTTCGTAATCTTGTGCACTTTAGTCTGACATCAGGTATCACTTAGGTGTTTATATTTACTGGCTAGATTCAACCTGTGGTTGCCACCTGGAGTTTGATGACGAGAAGCAAAAGGAAATCAAATGAGGCACCTAAAGTCTCTGCTAATGAACCTGGTACATCTGATGGAGCACAGCAAACGTATGAGATCCATCCTTTGCTTGAGTTAGCAATTTCTTTTCCCTGTTTTATGCTGCTTTGACTTATCTGTATATCTCTGTGATTTTAGCTTCGAAGGGGAAAATCTCATGTGTCTACTGAAGTTAATCAGTAGGTACGACAAGCTTTGATAAATGTGTTTTTATTTTTCTTTTCCCCGTTCTTTGTACCATTGAACACTTGAATTTTCACATTCAAGGATTTATGGATATTCTAATTTGTTGGTGGAATGACAGGGAAGTAGAGTCTGCTAGAGGTATGGATACAGCTTTACCTGAAAAAGTATGGCTTAAGGTATACTTTCTGCTCTTGTAGCATTCTCATGTTATTGGATTTCAAACATGTTTTTAATGGTTGTATATTTTTATTATGGTAAGCAACAATTCGCCATAGGAGTCAACGAAGTTACGCGTTTGCTTGAACGAATGCCACCGGTTTCTTCAGGGACGGGCTCGTCGCATGAGGTTGGAAAGTACAGTAACGAGATTCCTTCAGGACAGCTTCAGGTAATTTCGTTCCATTCTTGAGATTGGCACCATTTCCTGAGTTTTACTGAGGTGTTGTTAGAAAATCATCTCCCTGTTCTCATCAAGTTTTTAATAAATCAGAGAGATTTGATTTCTAAGCTGTTACTAAAACAAACTCTCTGACTTAGGAAATTACAAAAGAGAAAGAAAAACCTCACCGAAGTGCTTTTCTCCAAGCAACTTTATCCTTCTAAGAGGCACAATTCTGATTTCATAGCTAAAATAAAAGAGTTTTTTTTCCATCTCGATTTACACACATGATGCATGTCCAAACTCAAGTATTCCATAGCATTATCAACTGTCATTTCTTCTTCATCCAACCAATAAATCATTTGTGAATGTTCGTTATGGGAAACACTTGTTGATACACTGTATGCATTGAAGAGATGAATCATGTAAGTGAACTAGGCTGCACTATGTATCTCAAAGTAACCAAGTAGTGATGATTCGGCCCCAAAGTTTTTTAACATGATTTTTTAACATATCTGATGATTTCTTAAGCAATAATCTAATTGTTTGTTTAAAAACAGAAGTTTAACAGTAGTCTTGCGCTGATATAGGCCATTTTGTTAGCATCAGATTGCAACCCGAGGTGGCTGTCAAAGCATTTGCGAAGCTTGGCCAATTCCAGGAATGTGCCTATCCTCTATGTGAAAGATAATAAAAGAGGATCTTTGAGATTAGGTGAAGTGGTCAAGCTAAAAACTGCAATCGCTATTGGGATCAAGGTGTCCATATTGCTTATTCTATTGAAAAAGCATCTAGTTTCTCATCATTATTGTGTTCGTACATGTTATATTGAAAGTTTCTCTATTCTTTCCTTCATGCAGGGTAGGGGAAATGCCATCAATCAACTTGTTCAAAAGGTCCTGGGGAATGAAATTCCGGTTGCTGTAGACTGCAAAATCGTTTGAACTACCTTCTGAACTTCGAATTAAACTGTCAGAAAGCATCAGAATGAATGAGCAACCGGTTTTAATCCCTGAAATTTTCCGTGAAAATGTGGTTGTGTAGTACTGTTATTTTACCAGAGTTCCAATTCGGCATTGGCACCTGACAGATACCGGTGAGAATATCAAGTGTTTGTCGGATTTTGGCTGCACTTGGCATACTTATCAGCAAAAGGGAAATGTTTAGTGACGTAGGATTTCAGGTACACTGATAGTATACTTGATGTTTTTGTCTGAGCAAGATCAAGAACGAAGAAACTAACAAATAAAAGGCCCTCCAGACGTCAAAGCTGTAATTTTCTGCAGACGTCAAACCTGTAATTTTATTCAACTTTTTAGTACTGTATGCAGATGATACATGTTGGTATATATTTAAGATGGTCGAAAATTTCATTCAGTTAGATGCGTGAGAGAATTAAACCAGATTGAAACTGAAACTCAACCACACCGTGGTTTCGATCGAGAACAGAAACTGAAACAAGCCAAGAGTGAAGTACTGTTCAGAGTTCTCTATGAATTGCCTATTCATAGGCAGAATCTCTGTTTCCTGAATCAAAATTGTGCCAACACACCATGATGGCTGACTACAACACTTTATCTGCTTGATTTCGTGTGCTAAAAGACTCTTCTCATACTTTGATAAAGACATTCAATTCTTCGAATTCACAACTGAAATTAAGAATTGGATCAGTTGAAATCAGCACATCAAACGAACAATCAAAACAACAAATATGCCAAGATCGCTGTCTTGGATATTGATCAACTAGAAAGAAAGTCTTAATTTGAGCCGTAACGATGCTAGACATTGCATTAATTCTACTCCTTGGTAGTTTATTAGGCATCTGTAAAGGTCAGTAATAAAATGGTTCCTCCAGAAGTCCATGGAAATCTGATAACATTTCATTTTCCCCTTCAAGCATGTTCTCAACAAATGAACCACTGGCTACAGTTGAAGCCTCGGCTGTCTTCATGAGCATATTCATTTCTTCTTCGGCTGCATCAGAAGTGTTTTGGACCTGAATTGAACTCAGTTCATCAGTTGGTGGAAATATAATTGAATTTCCTTGCTCTTGTAGTCTTGTTGATGCATAAGCATCTTCAAGCAGAAAGTCACACCAGCTGAACCCCGGAGATGGAGTGATGGCTTGGTTTGTTTTCGAGGGTGGAGACTCTGGCGATGACGATGATGCAGATGAATAAGTGAATTCAATCTGCATTTGCTGGGTGGAATTATTGGCATAATCTGTGGCCTCAGTAACCATTGTAATGGCCTGAAGCTGTGAAAGAAGATCTAGCGACTGATTGCCAGCAGATATACCATCATTGCTAAAGAAATGTTGTTGAGTGGAGGCTTCAAGTTCTAATGGTGCAATTCTTGTTGAGTAATGGCTGTGAAAGTAAGAAGGCCTTTGCTGTGGGTTTTGATTATATAGTTCTGATCTCATGTTGAATGCATTCTTCATGTCTCTGCTGAGACAGCCGAATCTAGTCCGCGTTTTTGGGAAGCCACTGATGTTTCCATAATCTGCAAGGATTTGAGAGAAGGGCCTGTGAGTGACTGGATCAATTCCTAATGCAGATAGCTTCTTCTTCAGCTTAGTGTTCCACAGATTCTTCACATCATTATCCGTTCGCCCTGGAAGCTGTTGTGCGATTATGTTCCACCTGCATTGCAAAACAAAATCAGAGTTTTCAAAAGGAATGAACTAACCATTTTAGTGCCTACCAAAAGAATTCCAAATTGGAGGCTGAAACAGAGCAACCTAATTACATTCTCATGGGAAAAATTTGTATGAGAAAAACTTTTGAAAGTAAGATCCACACATATTTAGCTTTTATTTTACATAAGATCCACGATTTATAAAAATCAATGTGAAAGCATTTACAGATATTTTACTATCCATAAATTGATTGATTTTTACCTGGTTCCTATGGTAGAATGGAGCTTTATAATCAAATCCTCTTCCTCAGGTGTGAAGTTGTCATCCCCAAGATCAGGCGGCCTTTGATTGCCACTCCATTTTATCCTGCAACTCTTTCCACATTTCCTCAATCCTGTTAAACACATTACAAGCAGAAGTGCTTCATCAATTATATGCCAGGTTAATAGTTTTACTAATGATTTTGATCATGTCATTTCTGTAACCTAACCCTTAGGTGAATGACCCAAATAAATAATAGGAAAAATTGACCTGCAGCTTTCTTTGGCATGGTTGTCCAGTTGCTTGTTGTTCCTTGCTTTGTTGCATATGCAAGTGATCTTTTAGCATCTTCCTCTTCCTCCAGCCAACGACCATCTTTCATTTTCGCCTTGTTCTTTTCATAGAAAGGAGGTTTCACCATTTTTCATCTGGAAAGATATTGCATTGGAGTAAGGCAAAATCAGCAAAATACTGGAAGAGAAATAATGATCAGATCAAATGCCAAGATACCGAATGAAGCTTAAATGTAACAATAGAGAGTGGATGGATGCAAGAAAAAGGCAAGGAAAGCATGGGGCAGATGACTTCCATTGTACTGGTTTTGCATGACAAAATGCATCTGTCTTTCAACTGTAACTTTGAGGGGGTATTTTTTTAAAAAAAAAAATACTACAAGAGAGAAATTACTCCAGTGTTGCACACACATTACACTCCTGTGTGCATCTTGCATCAAATTGATTGGACTTTTCAGTTCAGGTTCATTTCGGGTGATTAATTTGGTTGAATGTAGAATCACGAGTTCTTCATTTGCATGCAAAACTAACTGGTCTTGATTACTTCATTTAATAATGATCACAAGTTTGATGATCTATTAACTACTATACACTGAAATTCTACTAAATTAAGAAACACAAAGAGAAAATGCAATTCAAGCTTTGGATGAAATGCGGGTCAGTTTTCTTTTCTTTTTCTTCCCCCTCCCCTTAACTCAGTGCAAATTTTCCCTACACAGATTTCTTCACAATGTAAAAGAGAGAATAAAAATGTTTAGTCGTCGAGGAAAAGATGTTATAACGTGCAAGATATCCTTCAAAATTAAGTCCTCCTAACTGGACTTTGAACTGTTATTTTTTTTTTTTGAGAATGGAACTGTTAATTGAAGCTTTAACAATTGAAGGGGGTTTGGGAGAATATGATGAGAATGGAACTGTTAATTGAAGCTTTAACAATTGAAGGATGGTTTTGGGAGAATATGATGATCAAAAATTTAATTTGCTTACCTGAAAAATGAATAAAGAAAAAACAATATATGAAAAGAATGCATTATGAATGCCTCAACTAATTTTGAGCGTTGACTCATTAAATTTTCGCATTCAAATATTTAGGATCAAGGCCATATATATATTTTCCTAAATGGTTGGAATGAGAGGGAAGTTGTTTCTTTTCCTTTCCTCTCCTCCCATTTGATGGCCTTCAGCTTCCGACAGATGAGGAGTCTGCTTAATGAATTCGGATTAATTGTCTGTGTGATGAATGCCATGGAAGAGGAGCAGATATGTGGCTTCAAGGATACTGGTTCCAATTAGTAATTCCTTCCTGCCAAAATCGCTTGCTCATAGGCGGGCTTTGGTTTCATTCACGACAGCTGAAATGTGTTCACAAAATGATTGTCGGATTTTCACTTTTAGTGCAAATTTCGGACATAAGATTTTAAGTTAGGTTTAAGGTGATGAACCCCACCACATCTCTTCCTGCATAGTTCTTGTTTGATCAATGTATTTTTGGTTATTTGTGTTGGCCTAGGCAAAACATGTAACCTCCAACTTCGTTACGCTGATACCTAAGTTTTGTTGATTGTAGATTGATTCTTATTGAAGTCTACAAAAAGGTTATTCTCGGTAAGAAAGAAACAGTCCAAACTATTTTTTTCTGGACTATTTCTGAGATGGAACGCAGGAATGACCAGGGATTTAATTGGCCAGGGTTAAGTTTTTTTAAATAAAGTAAACAAATAGACCAGTTTTTTTATACTCAAAATATAGTTAAACCACAACAAGGGAAAAAAATTGTAAGTCATTTCTCTCCCACCGATATGCACAAGCCTCAAAGAAATTCAGAACAAAATAATCAAGTTTCACACTCAATGTTTGGAAAAGAGTCAACTTTGGGTAGCAACAAATGCATGAACTATGTTTTCTGAATTCCTACGTATACTGTGCAACACACTTGTTGTATATAACTTATAGGCGCAACCTATAATAAATAAATGAATAAATAATTCACTGTTGCTAGGTTAAATATTCAATATAATTCAGAAATTAATTATGGAGTGTTTGAATATGTGGTGAGTATGCTTTCAATTTCACTCTCATTAGAACACTCATCGGTCATCACAACATTAGCTAAGTCTCTCTTTTCATTTCAGCAATTTGCTTCTCAAAATCTCTGAATCTCCAAACCACTGCAATAAACGAAGATCAAAGAAATCTAACCTGCCCCAAGTTAATTGCTCACCTTCCATATCCACATCCACAAAGATCATAGAAATCCAAAGCTTCTCTAAAGTGATTGATTACCAATCACCTCTATCTATTTCCCACTCCCCGAAATTTGTATTGTGTGAACAGTTATTTACGACACTACTGGCATGCTCATGGGCTAATCAAAACAAGGATAAGCAACAAAGATTAGATCCTAGACCCTACATATTCCACAAACATGGACAGCATGGTATACATGTCCCGGAAATCTTACCCAACTAGTCCATTGAAGAGCCTAGTCAAATTATTTCCATTGATATTCACAGCAACTAAGCAAATTTACAAAATCAATTGATGCTAAAACATACGGATTGAGTCATATAATAACCGACAAAACCCAGAGAGGAAAACAAACTGATGGTATGAACACTAACCGAGTAGAGAGTAAGTAGGAATGATGATTGAACTCAAAGAAGCAAAGTAGCAAACTGTAGAAACCCCTCTACACTCAAAGAGCTGTGGTGTTGCGTTGATACAAAAAATGAGAGACTGTAAGATGTACCTGCAAATACACAAAAACTAGTATATGTTGTGGATCAGCGCTTACAGTAATGTATCAGAAGCATGCGTATAGCTTATTCATAAAAGAAGGGAAGCTAACGCAAGGATTTGGAACATTAGAAAAGTAATAAATGGGGGGGTAAAACTGCTATAAGATCGAGTCAAACAAAATGATATTGATTATGACAGTACCTGAGACATGAGAACTAGAAAGTTCTTGGCAATCTTTCTCCATTACTAAAGCACAATGACTGAGAAGGGGCAATCATGAATGAACACTTGTCCAGAACAATGCCTGGGGAATAAGGAGCTGATTCCAGCAAGGTTAGTTCTTGCAAGCTTATATGAGTCATTTTGCTATTTCCGCATGGGATAATTCACATCATTATTCTGTGCCTGATTCCCCTGCAAGAACAAAAATTACCCAAAAGTTACATAAACTACACATAATAGGAATAAAAATTTCTTCCTGGTAACATGTATATTAACATTCATTCCAGGTGAATAAACGATACAAAATTTAGTTCCTAGCAAATAAACAAACAAGTTACCATTTTGTCCGATAATCTTCTCTGAGACATTTGAGACAAGTGCATAATTGTTGCTATCGTAGCACGCTCTCATAAATGCTGCAAGAGTTACACGATCCACATTATGGGTTTTCTCCAGTAGCTTGTCAAAAAACATAGCAGCTATGTCCACCTTCTTTTCACTGCAAAGCTTTCTGACCAATATACTCACAGTACGAATCCACAATTTTTTGTCTAGTTTATTTAATAGGTTGAGGGCAACAGAAGATTCGTCCTTCTTGCAATATTCATAAGCTATAGTCAGTCGAGTAACTTCACATGGTGATTGTCCCTTCTTTATCATAACATCATATAAGGCTCTTGCCTCATCCAATCTAGACTCCTTGCAAAGTCCACTGATCATAGCACCATAAGTGAAACTATCTGGTGCACAACCATGTTCATCCATACTCTGAAAAAGCTTCAAGGCCATGCTAGTGTTGTTAGCTTTGAAGTATCCAGAAATCATACTAGTATAAGTTTGTTTTCTTGGAACTAACCCAAGCTTCAGAAAAGCATCATCAAAGAGCTTTTCACTTTCACACATTCTATTTTCTTTGCAAAAAGCGGAAATTAAGGTCGTGTATACATGTACATCAGGCATGATACCTGATTTTACCATTTTAGTAAGAAAAGCTAATGCTTGCCTCAGATCTGCTCGCTTGCAGCTTTCTGATATGAGAACAGTGTAAGTAACTAAATCAGCGGAGAATCCACTTTCAAAACCAGTTTTGAGCAACTTGTAAGCATTCCTTGCGTCCCCTATCCTAAAAAGAGAATTGATAACAGTGTTGTAGGTACAAATATTAGGAGGGAGACCAGCTTTATCCATGACTTTCATCAACTCATAGGCTCGGGCTATATTACCAATTTTGCAGTACCCGTCGATGAGAGTCGAGTATGTGTAGACATTAGGAGCTATACCTTGTTCCCGCATCCTGCTCAACAGCATCTCAGCTCTATTCAATTTTTCCTCTTTGCAATACCCAGCAATCATTGCTGTATATGTATGGACATTTGGCTTGTAATTATCACTTCTAACAAGCTTCAAGAAAAGTCTAAACGCTTTATCTGTCCAGCCCTTCTTACAAAGACCATCTATCAATGCAGTATGAGTATACACATTTGGTTTCCAGCCTTTCCGCACCATCTCCTCCAACAGTTCAAAAGCTCGCTTAACACTACCTCTCTTGCACAACCAATGAATCAAACATGAAAAATTTATCACATTTGGCATGAAACCTATATCACACAACGTGCCAAATATCCAAAGTGCCCTATTTATGCAATCTGTTTCACAAAATACATCCATAACCAGAGTACATGTTGCATTGTCCACGAGATATCCCCTTTCTAGCATTGCAACCAGCCATCTATCAGCTTCCATAACTCTTTTCAATCTGCAATAACCAACAACCATGGACTCAAAACTACAAGAATTAGGAGAAACCCCTCTCTTACACATTTCATCGAACACATTTTCAGCCAGATCAAGCCAACTAATCTCCAAAGCAACATTTAAAACACAATTCAGAGTATGAACAGAGAGAACCAAGCCTTGATTTTGCATCTCAAAAACCATGTCCACAGCCTCTTTAAGCAAACCCACCTCCCCAAAGTTCCTCACCATACAATGCATCACTTCATTGGCCCTTTCAGAGTTTCCATTTTTCATCAAACACATTACCAGCACAAGATAAAACCTCATAAAGTGCCTGAATTTCGGGAGCTCAATAGCCCAGTAAAAGAAACCCAGTGCCACCATAGAGCCATCCGTATTAGCCAAAGATGCAGCCACAGTTATGGCCTCTTCTGGGGTCAATAAATCCGAATTTTCTTCAACAGGAAAGTTACGCTTAAAGAACGCTGGCCAGAAACTGAAATGGGCTCTTTGTTGCTGTTGTTGGTTATATGATTCTTGGACTAATGAGGTGATAGTTTGGACAACTGAATTCAAATTCGGGGATGATTGGCAAAAGGGTCTTACAAAGAGAAAAGATTGGACAATGGGTTTAGTGAAGAAACCTGGATATTTCCACAATCGGATCAACATTATCATAATTCATGCACACCAGAGCTTATGAAGAAACAGAACAAAAAAACCACGAAATCTAAGTAGGAGGAAAAGAAAAGCCTGAACAGTTTTTAGCAACCATTGATTGGTTACGGTAAGCTATGAATATATGTATTCGCAGAGGCAAAGGAGGGAAATGCAGACGACAAAGAAACAAATATTTAAAAAGAATGGAAGTGAACTAATTTGGATTTATTTTTAAAATTTACTCTTTTATCAATATTTTTAATTATTTCAGTATTATTATTTTTTTGTTGTTAAATATGTTCCTTGGAAATATAAATGTGCCAAAAATGACAAAATTTTATATATGGATTGAAAATATAAATTACATACCAAAAAGGAACATCGATGGAAAAATAGTTTATAAATTACTCAAAAGAAAAAACAGGAAACTATGAATAAAATGAACAATTGCCCCTTTTAACCAGTCAAGAGTTGAAAAATTAACCGTTAATTTTTTAGGGATAGAGACATTTACGTCCTGAATTTTGTCCCAAATTCTAAAACCCCTCGAGTTTTAACAAATAATAATTATCCCCCTGAATTATGTCCATAAGATCATTATACCCCCTTATGACATGCAACAAGAATATACAAAAATTCAACTTATGGTGACACTTCAAAAGTTTCAAAAAAATTTTGGGTAGAAAAAATGTATAGTCCCAACTTATGCAACTTTTTTGATAAATTATTGAAATTTCAAACACTTCAGTGACTTAAATTTTTTATTTTTAATTTTCTTAAGGGATTATATTTTATTTATTTACTTTTCATTGTAAAATCTTGAACTATTTTTATGTTTGAAACTTCTTCCTTCCTCTTTTGCTACTATAGATAGAGCTTTATGAACATCGCTCCTTTAGAGTTATGACAACAAGATCATGGATAGAGTTATTATCAACATTACACCTTTAGAGACATCAGAAATGATATAGAGAGCTAATGATGGATGGATTTGTGTAGTGTCATTGATCCACTTCCCGAAACAATAATTTATAAACCTACTTAAAACTATTAGCTAGTGATAAATAGGGTCGTTCCACAGGGACGGCAATCAACTGCTAAAAATCTGATTAAAATGCAGAAAAATAAAGAAAACAGTTGAACAGATTGTCACTTGGGAGAGTGAAAATAGTCACTTGACAGAGTAAAAAGGCAAAAGAGTCAATCACCTTCCTATCGTTATTATCCGGTTTTGATTCAAGTATTCCTATAGTGTATGATTAGTTGTTCCATTAGGCACTTATGTATCTTTATAATTCCTTCCAGATAGAATAAAGAGTCCTAGATTATCAACCCAGTCAGAATGTTATTTAATCTAAACTATTGAGTTCTTAATCCCTATATGATCGCCTATCACTCACCTAACTTCCGTTGATGTCTGGAACCGCAGGGTAGATTTCCTCCATTGTCATAGACTAGATTAAGCAGTTCTAAGGTTATGCGCCCCCTTCTAGATCTTCATAACCATGCAAGCACATTTAATTTAGTGGCTAAGTTAATTAAAAAGTTAATTAAATCATTTATCAAGGCACAACACCTCATCAAGGAAACTGAATCATAACCTTCACATAAAGATAGTAGGGATTGAACCCTTAACTGAGTTAGCTACTCATGTTTATTGAGTTAACAATGAGAGCAAAAAAGTACAAATGATAAGACATGAATCTAAATCAAAAGGTCAGAAGAAAGAAAGGAAGGATGGTAGCAAGGACAGTTTTTGCCTACTCACTATGGCGGGTGGCGTCCGCCACTTGACAGAATGACAGTCTGCCTTGTTCTTGCTACTACTCTGTTTCTAACCAATTAACCAGCTACCTAACTACTGTCTTTTTGACTAAATCTAACTATCCAATCTGTTATTTTTCTAACTGCTATTGGCTGGCTATTTATAGAGGTTTGGAGAGGCTTTGATTGGTGGAGTTCTGACGTTCTTCTTTACAGCAGAAAGGTGAGGCAGCAACTTGCTGCAGAGGAGATTTGTTTATTCTGCAACTTGTTTGGTTGGCCAGTTGCAGTCTTCTCTTTGGCTGGTCTTTCTCTTCAGCCACAATTAGCCACCTTTCTCTCATCATTGCCTTCTTCTCTTAGTCTTCTTCTCGGCGCAGTTTCTCCAATTCTCAGCCACAAATCTCTATTTCGTCATTCTTTAATCCTCAACAGCCCAACTAGCAGCAGTAGCAAGCAGCAACATCAGCAGCATGCTTCCTTCCATCATTGTGTTTCAACCCCCAATTCAGTCCAAATCTGTCTGCCTTTTCCTTCTGTATTTCCTGTGATCACTTGCAACATCATTTTTCACCTGACTGCAGTAGCCAATCTATCAATTCAGCAGCAACAGCCATAGCAGGTAAGTAGCAGTTTGTAACTACTGTTTTCCATGCTCCCTCTTTCTCTTCCTCAACTTGCAGCAGCTATAACTTGCAGTGATGGTGTAGCAATTCCTTCCTTTGGCAGCAAGAATTCGGCCTTGGCTCTTCTTGATTGATAGCCGCAACAGCATCTGCAGCAGTAACAGCATCTGCAGCAGCAACTTGGCAGCAGAGGAGCTGCCAATTCTTCTTCCTCTATTGAGGTAGCTGATGCAGAGTCTTGTACTTGCATCCATCTGCTATCAATCTTCCGTCATCAGCAAGGATTTCTCCACTTGCTTCAACTCTGATCACTCCTTCAGCAACTCAATTTCCACCAGCTTCCATTCAAGTCTTTTTTATGCTTTTTTGTGCAATTTGGTCCTCATTTATACTAATTTTTCACATTAGCCCCTTGAGCTACCTAAACTGTAAAATCATCCCAAAAGTAAACTAATCCTAACTAATTGACACTAAATTATAAGCAGAAATGAGTAAGAAATGCCTGCAAAAAGGGTATGTATTTTTGTGTTATCAGATACCCCCAAAATTGAAGTGTTGTTTTTCCTCAAGTAATAGCCCCAAACTTAGAGTTTTACTGATCCTCTAGTAAACAAATTCATGCTACATTCCTACTGACCTAGACACAGAAGGACTGACTCAGAAAGAAGAAGTGATATTTTGAAATTTTTACGATAAAAGCAATGACAGTGACCGAAAACGAATGTGGCTAAATGAACAGAAATAATGCAACATTGTATCAATGTTAGTCTCATATTAAAGTCCCTCACTGGACAGATTATGCACCATTATTTATCACAAGAAAGCAGTATCACAGTTTCTTCAATATTTATGTGCATATACCACAGCCAAAATTCAAGTTTTTACCTATGATCCATTCTAAGAATTAATCAATTTAAGAACAAATGGACATTATTGTGATCAGTACTTATTTCCTGTATGCCATAAAGTAAGGTATTCTTACTGAAATTTTTAGATCTAAGGACTTCCTCACAAATTCTGCAACTCATTAGCTATATCTTATTTCTCCCTCAACCCTTTTTTCTCCTTGTCCATATGACTTTTTTTCTGGATCTTTCCCACTCAGGCCCCTACCCAGAGCATATTTCCACTCATTTATCTATTCATAGTGCTTAGCAACTTAGGGCATTTCACCTTGAGCATATTTCCATGGTGGCTCAGCAACTTAGGGCATTTTACCCAAAGCATATTTCCACTCATTATCTATAGTGATTTCTTACAGTGGCTCAGCAACTTAAGGTAGTTTATTCTTTTTTTTCCCCTCATATTTCCTCACCAGGCTTGAGGACCCTCTCTACTGGTTTGGCAAACCTAAATACTCAGGGGCATTACTGCTTCATTGGATAGTCTTCCTAACTTTCCTCATTTCAGAATTTTTCTTTTCAGCTCATTTGAGCCGGCTACCATTGTCCTTTCCCAAGGTATTTAGGCTTTTTTACAGACCCCATGGGCTCTTACAGAGTCTGCCCTGATGCGAAGGGCTGCCTTAGTCTTCACTCATGTTTACAGTCCCCCCACGTTTCAAACAAGTGGACTCAGTATAAGATCACAACAATGTAATTAGACATTCAGATTTTAGCATTAAGTTCAGAACTCTCACTTTGGCAAGTGTATTGTGCTCGAGAAAGTGAAAAACTACAGTGCTGACTTCAAGTGAATCAACAAGTGTTCAAACTTTCAGAATTTCCCGCACATTTTTGAATCATCATAGGCTTTTGACACTGTATATGTATCAACTAGTTTACAGTTGCAAACAATCTACAAAAATTTTACAAATTTTGGAGATTACTATTGTAACGACCCAACTCACCCACCTGTTATTATACATAATGTTTAATTATGAGTTGAGCCGTCTGCCGGGCTCTCGCCTAAGGCGCAATATTTTTATTTACCTTTAATACAAATTCTAAACATCTACTTAACATCCTCACTAGTTAACCTAACCCATCTCATATTACAACTATCAATAACAATATCTCTTGTACGAAGTCTTGCTTCCCTTGGTCTCATCTGCAGCGATCTGTTCTAAACCTAGGAGTGGGATACGGGGATAAAATATAAAAGGGGGTGAGCGCCGAGCTCAATGAGGTTCTCACTATACTACTACGATACTTTTAATAAAACTGTTTTCGTAAAACAATATTCGATATAAAATAATTTCACATAGAATCATTCAACAATCAACTATTTCACATTAAGCAATTAACAATAGGGTGGATACAGGGAAACCTTAGCAAGGGCCGTCAAAGAGCCTACATGGTACAGAGACGGACTCCAGGTCAGATTTCAACAATACGATAGCGTCCATCCGGACAAAAATTCCATATCGATAACAATCTCTCCTCAACACCCGTGGCCACCGATTGATACTCATGAGCACCACGTCCATCCGGACAACAATAGCCTAGGTAAGCTAACCTGGCGACCAAGCCCGATGCCGGCCCGCAAGGCTTCGCCTAACAAAGGCAAGGCCCAGGCTCCAAGTGAACAGAGTCCACCGATGCAACAATCACACATTATTGCATAACAATCAATCAATAGCAACAATTGTTTTCATGATGTGATAAAGTACATCACTAGAAG